ACTGATACAGTGGCCAACATTAAGAAAGAAAGTATTTTTTAAGAGGTATAGGATGAGCAATTATAAGTATAGGAAATCCAACATAGATTTCAAAACCGTTCATTATGAGGAGGTGTTCATCCAAGAGAAGTTTACCAAAGAGAAGTTGCACTGTATTACATATATAAAGAGATAATATAAAGATATCTTAACAAATAATAAATCACTCATACTGTATATTATCAGCATACAAAATATGTATTGTCCACTAATGACCTAGTAAACTTAAATGAATTTTTAACCACAATTCATATGAAGAATGCGTTTTATAGTATCGTTCGGCCCCTTCCGATCCCTCCCCATTCATGGGATTTCAGCTTAAGTCCATGGCTATACTTAAAACCCATTTAACATGGGGTTAATGTTAAGTCTATGACACAGGGTAAATATGGCAATAGATAATCTTAAGCCTATGAATCTAATGCTAATTTCATGAACAATGGTAAATCGGTGGGACTAATGCTAATCCTATGGGCAACTCTAAATCTATGGGACTAAAGCTAATCTGTTCTTTGAGCAATTGTAGTTAACATGTTGTATAGCATCTTTGTGTGAACCTTGTTTTCGTTAACTTATTTACCAATTTATAATTTTACCAAATAAATGATTAATTTTATGCCTATTTATTTAAAATACATCATAATTAATTTGGTGAAATTGTAATTTAATTATTAAAATAAATACTTTAAAAGTAGTCACAAGTAATAAAATTATTTGATTTATACATTTATAAAATAATAATTGTGTACAAAATATGAATTTAGGAGAAGCTCTGAATTATGGTTGCAGTGGAATCGGAACAGCGATCGGATCCAATGCCTTACCTCAGGCGCCAATCATTATGTTTGGAAACGATGAACAAAAACGACAATATTTGGGACGAATGACAGGTTCAGAGGTGTTGTGTGCGGCCTATTGTGTGACCGAACCTTCGGCTGGAAGTGATGTAAATGGAGTTAAGACTAGAGCTGAGAAGAACAAAGACGGAAATTATGTACTCAATGGCCAGAAAATGTGGATCACTAGTGCGGGGGTCGCCAACTGGTACTTTGTATTGGCCCGAACTGATCCCAATCCTAAGACTAAAGCGAGTAAAGCGTTCACTGGCTTTATAGTGGAGGCCGATAGCGAGGGAGTAGTAATCGGCCGTAAAGAGGATATGTTGGGTCAGAGAGCGTCGGACACCCGAGGGGTTAGTTTTGAGAATGTAATCGTTCCCAAGAAGAACGTGTTGGGCGAAGAAGGTATGGGTTTCCGTATAGCAATGGGTGCGTTCGATCTGACCCGAGCACCGGTGGGTTGCGGTGCCGTGGGTTTGGCTCACAGGGCCTTCGATGAGGCGACTAAATGGAGTTTTGAGAGACACACGTTTGGTGTGCCTATCCATCAGCACCAGGCCGTGCAGTTCATGTTAGCCGATATGGCCATTGGTATCGAAACGGCCAGAATGGCAGTGCAAAGGGCGTGTTGGGACTTCGACCAAGGTCATAAAAACACATACTGGGCATCGATAGCCAAGTGCTGGGCCGGAGATGTGGCCAATAAGTCAGCTGCCGATGCGGTCCAGATCTTCGGCGGCGCGGGTTTTAATAAGGAATATCCCGTCGAAAAACTTATGAGAGACGCAAAGATATACCAGATATATGAGGGAACCGCACAAATACAACGTGTTATCATTGCCAGGGAATTACTAACACAAGCAAAACAACTATTATAATAATTTTACCACAATTATTTAACAAAATCTTTAATCAGAGACAGCTATTAATATATGATTATCACATGATCATTTGAATCATAATGTAATTATTTACACAGTTCTGTGGTAACTTTCATATTTTAGATCACTTATTTCAATGTCACAGAATTGCATTAAACTATCTATTAGTTGATTTTGGTATAATATAGATAATAAGTAATTACTAATAACCAATGGTTAACATTTATAATTAAAATTAAAACTGAGTATCTGATACTTGTAATAACAACACAAAACATAATAATAATTCTAATTCAAATACCTGTAAATTATAGATTTGGAGTAAAGCATGAAACTATTCATTAAACATATGAGAGGTATAACTCAATAAAGGCGGTTATGAATACAGCAATGTTATACATAACCGCCTTTATTGCTTTATGCCTCTCATATACATATACATGTAGCTTATCATAGGTTAATCAAAAATACATTCATTTTTTGTAAAACCTTTATTAATTGTAAAAATTAATATAATTAGAAATAATTAGCAGTCAATTAGTATGCAATTAGATTTCAATGAAATATCAAATAAATCTGAACGAAAAGTATATTCTAATCGTTACATCTAATAAATAAAACAAATATAAGATATTTTCGAAACGAAAATACAGTTTTTATTTAATGTTAAACTAAATTAAAAATTACACTAAAATGAATGTTTTGTTAACCAATGCATTGAAAACAAACTCTAATTAATACAAGAAAATGATTTGAATTGCAAGAATTGAGTATAAAATTAGTTGTCTTATGGTATAAATGATTTTCAAAGGAAGTAATCGGGTTGTGGTTTCTTGGAGGGCACGCCTCGGCTTTCCTATCAGAATGAAAAGTATTCAAAATTAACACAATTGACGATTGATTGCGAAATAAGATGGAAAACCTGTGGCGCGGCTTCAAAAATGGTGAAATCGCGGTGAAGATTCTCATCTAATTCGAGAATAGCGGCCACATTACCGCATCGGTAGCAGTAATTGGGTGCCGACCACACCGTCAATACAGTCTCATTGAAATGCCATTTAAACCCTTCCATAACAAGTTGATGAGCTCTACATATCATATCTAAATGATTGGTTGCATTGAATTGGGAAACCACGTCAGACCCAAACAGATAACCGGCACCTCTTGGCGACACACCCCAGCCCTGTGTGTCCTCGGGGTCTGACCACAACAGGTCACACATTGGGCCGTCGTGTGGCACCTCTTGTTTGCGGTCAATGACACGTATTTGATCCAATGTCTGGATGGATGGGCTCAGACCCCCGTGAACACAAAATATCTACACAAATCATTAGTTGCAAAAAGTGATGTCAAAATACACAACAAGTCATACCTTTCCATCAATAATGGCTGAAAGCGAGAGGTAATCAAAAATTTCGGTACAATATCTCCAAACAGTTATTGATCCGTACTTTCGGAGGCACTCGTCGTAAAAGCCATAGACTTGTGTTATTTGTCTGGACTCGTGATTACCCCTAATTAGAGTAATCCGATCGGGATATCGAACCTAATGTATGTCCAAAGCATTCAATCAAATCTAATTCAATCACTTTTCTCATACCTTAAGCGCTAATAGGAGTAGAAATGTTTCCACTGAATAGAAGCCTCGGTCCACAAAGTCTCCCATAAACAGGTAATTAGTGTCGGGAACATCACCGCCCACTTTGAACAACTCCTTCAGATCGTAGAACTGGCCGTGAATGTCACCGCACACCTGATCCATACAAACACAATGCAGTCATTATAGACACTATCCATACAACACAAACCATGCAATACATACAGTGACGGGTGCGTCCACTCGCTGTACATTCGACTCTTCCACCAGTATTTCTCGGGCTTTAGCGCAAAGACTCTTCACTTCCGACTCTTTAATGATTTCACATCTTCTGAGTTGTTCTATCTGTCGGTCCAAATCTGAAGAGCTGCTCATCAAACTGCACGACAACGGATCCGCATTATTCTCATTCTTATCGTTGTTATCATCCCAACGACCGCAACCAGTCTTCGCGTTACCACTCATCACTTGATCGCTATCATCACCACTACTGCCACCACTACTGCCACCACTACTGCCACCACTACTGCCACCACTACTGCCACCACTACTGCCACCACTACTTCCACCGCTATTCACATCACTCATTGTCTTTGTATTATTGTTGATATAATCATTGGTTTCATCACTTGAAGAGCTTTTATCAGCCATTGAATCGGTCTCTGAATTGTTGTCATTATTTGTGGACATAATTATAATTAAAAGGATTATTGAAATGAATTAATTGTTTAATAATTAATAAGTAATTGAAATAAATAATGAAATGAATGATAATTTGTAAGTCATATACGTTTGAGTCGTTCACTCACTCATCAAAACGATACCCAATTGGACAGCAATGACGTACTAATCATGCTTTCAATACAACACTCTTTACTACGGTTGAAAAAATGCCCGGCATTTAATATATATGCCCTATATGCCCGGCACGTGCCCGGCATATGCCCGGCACGTTTCTATCCAAA